CTAATTTGCCTTCTATCAACACTAAGGAAAAATATAACTATATAGTCTTCAACTCCATCAAAGACACCAGAAGAATATGATATTACCTAAGTAAACAGGAAATGCAATTCAAACCTCTTCCAAAATGACAGAGATGTCTGCCTGGACAGTCACCTGTGGTTTCTCTGCAACTTTGGGGAATCCATCTTTGGCCTATAGACCTAGAAGATCTGGAAGACATTTTTGTGAATCAGGAATTTTTGATGGACTATCCTACCCTGTCTTGGAAAAGTTCAGCAGTTGCTTTCTTTTCCTCCAGTTTAAACAGCATATTGTCAGCAGTTCAGGCAAGGGCAATTTCTTGCCAAAATGGCTAGCTTTCACTACAAAGAAAGCAAACTCTATATTGAACTTCTTTGATGTCTGTCATCCTTTTTTTTGAAGTAAATTGGTACTTCCAGGTACAGATATGTCTCACAGTCATAGAAACCTCAGATTATTAAATATCTTAAGGTATTTGAAGTTCACCTCTCCGTCTATTTTTTTTTTTTTTTTTTTTTTTTTTTTTTTTTNTTTTTTGATTTTGAGACAGGGTTTCTCCATAGCTTTTGGTTCCTGTCCTGGAACTAGCTCTTCTAGACCAGGCTGGCCTCGAACTCACAGAGATCCACCTGTCTCTGCCTCCCAAGTGCTGGGATTAAAGGCATGCACCACCACCGCCCGGCCTTCACCTCTCTATCTAAAGTATATCTTTGCATGACCTTGAAAACATACTTAACATGACTCTAAGTTTAGTTGTTATAGGTGACTATTAACCTGTATTCCTTTATTATTCTAAATAGATTTTAAGGACTAAAGCTTTATATTACATTTTAAAATGAACTGCATAGGTACAAAATCTTAAGCAAGAATATAAACATATACACAGTGTAATAAAAATAACCTTAAATTTGTATCAATATACAAAAACCCATACCAATGTAAAATAATGAGACTAGTGGTTGTTTAAATGTAGACTCAACAATCTACCCTTTTATCTTATCATTTCTATACTATATCTCCCCTTTTTCCTTCAGAAATAGATCCTTGAATCTGTTTTGTTTAGCTTTTTTCCTGACCATGACCAATAAAAACTTGTAATCAATCAATGCCCCTAAATAATGACAAACATCTATAACCCATCGAATGACCAACAGCCATCTACTCCACCTCTTGGGAATGTGAGTATCATAGTTTCTTTACTCTTTCCTGTTTTTTTGAGGGTGTTGGCATATTTAGGAGACTCTGGAAAAGTTGAAATAATGGTCAAGTCCTGGGAGAGCTAGCTGTATTATTTTTTGTCCAGTCCCTGTGCAGTGAGATAGTGCAAGGCTTATCTGAAGTCCTGGCAGGAGTAGTCTGTGAGGCTAGACCATCTCAATCAGGAGCCTTGAAGCTGTTTTGGCTACAGAACTCTAAGGAAACTGTAACAGAGGCCATCTGAGATACTCTATCACCTGGGCCACCTGTTTTCACTGATGTCTGGTCCTGTTGCTCTGAAAATATGTAAACATTCAAAGATAACATACCTATCTGCATTAACACAGATACAGAATGTGTGGTGTGCACAATACAGTTAGAGATGATTTTTGTTTTATGTTTGAGCAGGTAATAGGCATTGTTAGGAATTTTTCCTAACGTGACCTCTCTGCCAATGCAAAAATCCCAATCAAACCAAATTAAAACAAGCCAAATTAAAAATTATCCAGGTTTAATAGGAGTCCTGCACTCTTGGGTGGCCCCGGGGGGGAACCGCTGAAAGGTTGTGAATGCGACCACCAGGAAGAGGGGAAAGAGATCGCATGTTCCTCTTTTGGGAGTTCACTTAAATACCCCATGGGAGTGGTCCTGATCCCCCCCCCCCCACACACACACCCAGGGAGGGGTCAGGACCTAGCATGCTGGAATTTGGAGTCCAGACCAATACAACTCACAAGCCTGGGGGCTGGGGTAGATGTAAGGGGCTGGGGTCTGTGCTCCCAACTTAACATTCTAGACACTTTGGATATAGTGATGACAGGAAATTGAAGTGATAGGCTCTCTATGGAAAAGGGGCATTGACTCAAGTCTGGCTACTTCCTGTGGGTATAGAGGGATGTGGGAAAGGGGAGAGCTAGGTGTTGGTGGGTCCACACTCAGCAAGAGGTGTGGCTGGAAAGGTATCCCATGTACTGTCATCCCGGAGACGTCAGGCATCTGTTCCTTGGGGGAGAAGGCAGATGTCTAGGAAGAAAATATATTGTTATTACCAAAGATGAGTGTGCCAGGATGAGGAGCCGGTAGGCCCTTCATTGTGGCATCCTGGAAAACCGGAGGGTGGAAGGTCCTGTCTGCTGGACAGACCAAGTGTCCTGAGTAGGTGCCCATTTTATCCTGGAGAGATGGTACCAGCATGGGTGTCCCAAGAGCTTGACATTTGAGGGGGTGGTGAGGATTACTGTGTGAGATCCTGTCCACCAAGGTTCAAGAGACCTAGGAGTTAACTGTTTGAGGAGTACTCTGTCCCCTGGGGAGAGTGGGGGCGGTTTAGGGGCAGTAGGGTCTGGTGTGGGGGCAGGGAGACAACTGTCAGTGTGTGAACAGAGGAGGGACCTTAAAAGGGAGAAGTAGGGTAGGTACCCTGCCAGTGGAGGACTTTGAACTAGGAGGTGATGGTTAAGGAGAAAGGGCCTGCCATAAAGCATCTTAAAAGGGCTCAGGCCCATAGGGGAATGTGGGGTGGCTCTGGGGTGAGTAAGGGCACTGGGGAGAAGGGAGGGCCAAGATAACCTGAGTTCAATAGAGATCTTGGTTAGCTGTTGTTTGATGAGTTCATTGGCCCTCTCCACCTTTCCCAAGAATTGTGGATGGTAGGGGGTGTGGAATTTCCAGATGTTGAGAGCTTCTGACACGAGCTCAGTGACCCTGGAAGTGAAGGCTAGCCCATTGTCCATCTGAATGGTTCATGGGACACCAAACCGAGAAATGATGTGGTTTAGGAGTACCTGAGCCACCACATCTGCTGTTCCCCTGGAGGCTGGAAACACTTCTATCCATCCTGTAAAAGTGTCCACAAGTGTTAAGAGATAACGGAGTTTTTTTATGAGTAGGCATAAGAGAAATCAACCTGCCAGTCTTTACCCAGTTGGGGCCCGCAAAGCTGGTGTAGAGACTGATGTCTGTAGAGAGCCCTTTGTGAGTTGGCCTGGGCACACGTCTGGCAGGAGGAGTGAACCTGTAAAAAACAATCTCAGAGATGGGTGGGGTCAAAATGTGCTCCAAGAAGCGGAACAAAGCTTTGGGGAAGCGGCTAAGGATTTCTCAACCCAGTAAAGGTGCTGGGCAAGCAGGTATTACTAAGAAAGAATGAGAGAAAAATTGTCCTGCAAGAATAAAAGGCAGGGCTGGAGAGATGGCTCAGTGGTTAAGAGCATTGCCTGCTCTTCCAAAGGTCATGAGTTCAATTCCCAGCAACCACATGGTGGCTCACAACCATCTGTAATGAGGTTTGGTACCCTCTTCTGGTCTGCAGACACACACACAGACAGAATACTGTATACATAATAAATAAATATTAAAAAAAAATAAAAGGCAGTGGCAAAGTTTTAAGTGGGGAGGAATGGGTCCCATCTATTCCCATAACTGAAATTGGTGAGGGAAACTTAAGGCCTGAGTGAGAATAAAAGTAATGGACTTACCCGCTACCTGTTGCTTTACCCTAGGCTCGGATAGGGTTACGGGATATACCAAGTCTGGGCAGCGTCAATTCTCTGCAAGGCTGAGACGTTTGAAGGCTGGCACAGTTTCACTTGCCAATGTTGGTGAGGCTGGACCTCCGTGGCATGGCATAGAGGACAAGCCCACAGGGGGGCATTGTGATTTCTGGTATCCAGGCTGCTGGCAGATAGGACATAACCTTGGAGGAGGTGTAGTGCAACATCATGCCGCATGACCATTTAGGCCACATTTGAAATAGCTTGCCTGTGAGGTTGACTTAGGCTGGGCTCCACCAGGGTAGAGCCTTGTGGTTGGCTTCCCTTGTTCCCCTTGCTGCGACCCTAGGGCAGCTGCTAAGGCCTGGGCCTGTAGGTTAGCTGCCTGATGTAGCCATGTAAAGGCCATTTTTACCAGTTTTCATGAAGGGGTTTGGGGACCCCCTCAACCTTTCTTAACTATTTCCTAATATCTGGTGCTGACTGAGAAATAAAATGGGTAAGCAGAAGGATTTAGTAGAAAAGGAACCTAGCTGCTTTTCTATCTGAGAGAGATCTGGAAGAGAAAAGGGAACACGGGGAGGATTGGGAGGGGCTAACCCAGTGTGCAGAGGGTGGAGTGATGAGGTAGGGTGGGGAGGGTAAGGTGGACGAGGTGGAAGTTGACCTTGAGCCTCCGGATTTGGGAAGAGAGGGGTAAGACCAGAAAGGAGAGGAATGTGAAGAATGTTGCTCCACTGGAGGGGGTTGGGTAGTGTGGGCTTGAGGGAGTAGGGGAGGGGCCAGGGCCTCTGGCAGCCTGGTGCTGCAAGGTACTGGCTACTGAGGGAGGGGCGAGAGCACAGAGCCCAAACAACCGTGGATGTGGTAAGCTCTATCCATTTGTCAAGGTCCCAGAGGATGGTTGAGGCCAATATTAGTGCATAGGGAAATTAGCCATTTGGGACAGATTGTATCGGACAGGCTCAATTTTAAAAGATTTTGTAAGAGGCATCCCAGGGGAGACAGCGGATCTGGCTTTGAACTGCAAGTGCCCATTTAAAAGTCTATGCCCAACCAAGTGGCCTAAGTCTATTACAGTGCATCCGCTAAAATAGCTCTCAGGCCCAACAAGGTTGTGGAAATTGAATTCTTGGTGTCCTAAAGCAAACAAAGCCCACCTCAGCAGAGCCCAGTCTTGCTGGTCTGGCCGCTACTGAGATCAAACTCTTGGCACGAGCTCGTGGCTTTAACCAGAGTCCAATAAACAGCAAATATGAATACAAAGCATAGACAAGAAAATGGACTCACCAAGACGTAGCTGCTGTCGCCCAGGAGCCGGTTTTAGCATAGTGTGGAGAGCTCAGATTGTAGACTAGGGGACTTTCAACAGTGGCCTAGGGCCACACGGAAAGACCGCCCTACCTGGTGGGACCTCTCTGATGTTAGGAAATTTTCCTAACGCGAACTTCTGCTGACGCAAAAATCCCAATCAAGCCAAATCAAAACAAGCCAAATTAAAAAATATCCAGGTTTAATGGGATTCCTGCGCTCTCAGGTGGCTCTGAGGAGGAACCAGGAGGCCAGGAATGCAGCCACCAGGAGGAGGAGAAAGAGACCACCTGTTCCTCTTTTGGGAGTTTATTTAAATACCCTGTGGGAGTGGGACCTGGCATGCTGGGATTTGGAGTCCAGACCAATACAACTCTCAGGCCTGGGGCCTGGGGGGGGCTATGCTCCCAATTTAACGGGCATAAGTCCATTTGAACTGTATAATCAAACTGTAATATAAATCTCTATCCTTGTCATATGAAAGGATAGCATGTGATGATAAGTTACAAAGGCTCTGTAGCCAACAAGATTTATCATGTCTCAGCTCATCTCGGAGCTGTTCCCATGTCAAGGGATCAGCTTACACATCACCTGCCCTGTAGTCTCTTTTGGGTTCCTTCCCATGTCTATAACCAAGACACTCAGGAGGTGTACCCCAGTAAAATCTGATCTCCACTCATCTGGAAGGAAGCCACAGCCTTTTGTTTCCTGTGAAAATAAAAGCAGAACCTTTCCCCCAATGCAACACATGATCTGACTTAAACCTGCCTGCCATGTGGCTCAGTTCATGGCACACTGGGGGCTCAAGCATGCAGGCAGCTGCAAGGAAATGTGTCTCTATGCCATGCAGGCATGAGAGACACAAGACTGGGAAGGCACATCTGTAGGAGGAGGCCACTTGTTCCTCTCAGCTGCCCAGAACCGAAATAATCACACAGAAACTGGTTATTTAAAACACTGCTTGACCCATTAGCTCTAGCTTCTTATAGGCTAACTCTTATATTAATTCAACCCATTTCTATTAATCTGTATATCACCACATGGCAGTGGCTTACCAACAAAGATTCGGCATGTCTGACTCTGGAGGCTCCATGGCATCTCTCTTTTTCTCTGCCTCCTTTCTCCCAGCATTCTGTTTAGTTTTCCTTGCCTACCTAAGTTCTGCTTTATCAACAGGCCAAGGCAGTTTCTTTATTCATTAATGGTATTCAAGCACACAGAGGGAAACTCCACATCAGACATCTGGCTCCATTTTTGTGTGTTTAGAACCTTTTTAAAAGCTTTCTCAGTTCTTATGTGGATATAGGTGGTCAGACATCGGCACTATTTTTAATTAGACCTGTTGGTTGGTACCACTGGCTCCTCAATAATGACATTGAGACTTATTACTAATTATAAAAACTTGGCTGAAAAACTAGCTCTTACAACTTAAATTAACCCATTTTTGTCAATCTACTTTTGTCTCGTGGCTTTATTTTCTTTACTCTGTACCACCCATGTTGCTTCCTCTCCAACTGGCTGATGACTCTCCCCTTCTTCTTCTCAGCACCCTGTGTGCCTGAATATCCTACATAGCTATTGGCTGTTCGGTTTTTTTTATTAAACTAATCAGAATGCCACATCTTCACAGTGTACAAAAAGATTATTCCACAATATTTCCCCTTTTTTGTCCAAATAAAAAGGAAAAGGTTCTGACTGGGGCCACATATCAGTCACAAGTACTCATAAGGCTCTAAAGCCTTCCAAGGTTTTCACTATGGTGTTGGGCCTTTCCAGGTTCAATAGGTCCTTTGGCATGTCCCAGTTCTCACTGGTGCTAGGCCTGTCCAGATTCTCAATGGGTCCTAAGGCCTTCTCAGGGTCTCACTGGGCCCTAAAACATTCTTCTGGGTTCTCACCCTGCTCTAAACCTTTCCCTGGATCTCACTGGGGCCTCAGTTCTTCCTGAGTTCTCACTGGGACCTAAGACCTTCCCTCAGATCTCAATGGGGCCTAGGCCTTCCCCAGATTCTCAGAGAGGTCTAATGCCACCCCCAGAATGTCACTGTGAGAAGGCCTTTCCCCAGGTTCTCACTGGGACCTAATATTTACCTAGGTTCTAACTGGGTCATAAGGCCTTCCCCAGGTACTCACAGGGACTAAAGGGGCTAACAGCCTTACCAAGTTTTCTTTGTAATCTAGGTTTATATTGGGGCCCAAGGCCTTCTTCAGTATCTGACTGGGACCTAAGACTTTCTCCAGGTTCTCACTGGGGTCTAGGAGAACCTTTTTTCACAGGTTCTCAGTGGTGCCTAAGGATCTACCAGGATGCTGACTGGATGATAATGCTTTTACCACATACTCACAGGGGCCTGTGGCCTTCCTAGTATTTTACTGTAGACACCCACTTTGGACCAAGGCCTTCTCCAGTATCTCAGTTATACAGAAACATTTTCCATGTTTGCACTAGTGCCCCAGGCCTTTCTCTAGTACTTACTAGGATCTAAGGCTTTCCCCAGCATCTCTGTGCATCTCCAAGCCCTCCCCACTATCTCACTGAGATCTAAGGCCTTTCCAGGTTCTCACTGGTACCCAAGCTACAGGACAGATCAATGTCTCCAGTAGTCCTGAAGAGGCAAAGAGCTACTACGTTTTGCTCAAGTAGGAATCATGGAGTTCTCTGCCTGTGCAGTAGTATGTCTAGTTATCAGGCACAGTGTTGGGTATAGTGGGGTTCCTGACTAAGCTATTTTTGTTTCATGACTAAAAGGTGTTAAGGGATATTGGTGCACTGTGTGAAGGTGTATAGCTGTGATTAGTGTATTAAAAAGCCAAATAGCCAATAGGTAAGCAAGGGGTATAGGTGGGGTTTCCAGGGAGAGAAAGGAAGAAGAGGAGAAATCTAGACATGCAGAACATACCAGGAGAAACAGATAGGAAACGGGAGGTACAAGATGGAAGAGAGGTAATGCCACATGATAGAATGTAGATTATAAATGGGTTTAAGTTATAAGAGCCAGTTAGAAACATGCCTAAGCTATAGGCCAAGCTTTCATGATTAATAAGAAGTCTCCATGTCATTATCTGGGAGCTGACTGGTGAGACAGAAAAAGACTCATTACAAAAAGGCATTTTTATTATGCTCATCATACTGAGGAAGGCCTTTGGCTCCACTGAGAATCAGGAGATGCCCATTGGCCCCAGTGAAAACCTGGGAATGCCATAAAGATGGGCATTTTTTAAGAGATAGGCTTAAGACTGTAGTCAGGAACTCAGAGTGTGAACCTTGTGTGAAAACCTCGGTGTAACAAAATACAGCTTTTGTTATACCAACTACACATACCTACCTTCTTGCTCATGACCTTGGATTCTTACTTGGGCTTATGTGCACCCCCCATTCTAACTTGAGTTAGAACTAGAAGTTTTCTTGAGATTCTTGCTGGGATCTAAGCCTTTCTCCAGGATCTCATTAGGGTCTAATGTCTTCTCCAGTGCTCACTAAGGCAGAAAGAGATCCCCAGATTCACACTGGTGTCTAGGGCTTTCCTCAGGTTTTTACTGTGTCATAAGGCCTTCATCCTCATTTCACTGTGGTCAAAATGCTTCTCCAGGATCTCACTGAGCACTAAGATTTTTCCAGGTTTTTATTAGGACACAAAGCCTTCTCCAGGTACTCACTGCTATCTAAGGCAATCCCCAGAATATCACTGGGGCCTGAGGCTTCCGTCTCAGAGTCTCACTGGGACCTAAGACCTTCCCCATGCTCTCACTTGGTTCTAAGGCTTTCCCCAGACCTCACTGGGAGCTCAGGCCTTCTCAGGTTCTCAGGGGAAATTAAGACCTTCCCCCATATTTTCACTTGGACCTAAAGACTTTCTCAAGTTTTCGTTACTACCTAAGGCCTTACCTAGATTGTCCCTGGGCCTAAAGCCTTTCCAGGTTCTCACTAGGGTATAAGGCTGTGATCTAACGCCTTCCCCATTATCTTACTGGGGACTAATATCTTCCCGAGTACTTACTGGGGCCCAAAGTCTTCTGTAGTATATTATTGGGACCTAAGGTCTTCTGAGGTCCTCATTGGGGCCCAAGGCCTTCCCCCAGGTACTATTGTAGCCAAAATCTTTCCCAGAGAAAATATCTCACTGGGATCTAAAGTTGTTCTTAGAATGTCACTGGGGTCTGGGGTTTTCTCAGGGTTTTCCCTGGGCCTAAGAGCTTCCCTAGAGTCCTACTGCAACCTAACATTTTCTCAGGGTCTCACAGAGGCAAACTGTCTTTCTCAGCATCTTACTGTGTTCTAAGGCCTTCCACTTGGTTTCAGTTGTATCTCACCCAGGCATTCTAAGGCCTTAGATCTTTTCTAAGCTCCCATTGAGGCCAAAGATCTTCTTCAAGTTCTCTTTGGAGCCTGATACTTTCCTCAGGTTCTTACTGGGACCTAAGGACTACCCAAGGATCTCAGTAGGGCCTAGGGCCTCCCAGGATCCCACTGTGGTCTAAGGCCAATCCTTAGAGTTCCAATGGGGCCTAGCATCTTCCCCAATGTCCCTCAGTTGCCTAAAGCTTTCCCCAGGGTCACATTGAGGTCTAAGGTCTTCCCCAGTGTCCCACTATTGGCCAAGACCTTCCCCAGATTTTCATTGAGGCCTAAGACCTTCTGTAGGTTCTCATTGTGGACTAAAGCCTTCCCCTAGGCAGTGTTTCTCAACCCTCCTAATGTTCCAACTCTTTAACACAGTTCCTCATGTGTGGTAACCTCAGCTATAAAATTATTTTTGTTGCTACCTCATAACTGTAATTTTGCTACTGTTATGAATCATAATGCAAATGTCTGTGTTTTCCTGTGTTTGTGGGTGACTCCTGTGAGAGGATCATTTGACCCCCAAGGGGTCATGACCCAGAGGTTGAGAACCGCTTCACTAAGGTCTTACTGAGTCTACATGTCTTACAGGTGTTCTCATTGAGTCTTAAAACCTTCCTAGTATTTCACAAGAACATGAAGCCTTCTCCATGTCTTCCTGGGGCCTAAGTCTTTTCCAGGGTTTAATAGGGGGTCTCAGGCCACCCATCCACTCCTTCAGTGGAGTCGAAGTTCTTCTCTTGGTTTCACAAAAGCAAGCCTAGGGCTTTCCTTGGGGTCTCACTGGGGATAAGGGCTTTCCAGAGTTTCCCTGGATCCTAAAGCCTTCTTCCATGGCCTCACTAAAACCAAAGGTCTGCTACAGTATTTCTCTATGTCTTAAGGCCTTCTT